TCAAGGAACTTGGGAAGTATTTGATCCTGAGATCTTCATTATTGGCTATATCTCCCGCTTCGGTTAGATATCTCGCTACGTGTTCGACTGTTGACTCGTTGGTATCCCCAGCGAACTTTGTAAATTTAGGGACTTTGTATCCCCTTGGTAAATCAGTATGCATTATACAATCCAATATAGGAGAAGCGTAATTTGGCCTCCTCATTCCCGTATTGAGGCCATTCTGGGCCATGATCCTCTCTATCATGGTGGTTAGGTTATTTTCTGCCAAGATGTTATCGTTTCGAATCCTATGAACGACGGCATCGGCATCTTGATTTCGACCGACCAAAACAACTCCCCTAGGTTGTTCTTCTCGAAATTCTGGGGCTTCTGGCCTTTCGATCCTTGCCCCTGGTTCCATAACTTCCCTTTGTGGGCCCGGAATTATTGGGGCTTCTAACCTTGGTGCTCTGGCCCCTAAGTTAGCTTCTTCTCTGGGTGGTCTATGAATTGGGTCGTTAGCAATTTGTTCTATAACAGGCATGTTTGTTCGAAATCCCGCCTGGTTCTGCCTACGCCTTTCTGTGGGAGCAAAGAAATCTGCTATTCGACTCATATTGTCAGCGTTTTCCCTGTTCGTCACAGTCACATTCTGAACTATTGGGGCAAATATTTCCTGCATGGTTTGCGCTAACACCCCTATCATATTGTGGTTGCTGTCATCCATCAATTGCCTAAAAGCCAACTAGTTATCTGTGGTTAGGATAGGCAACGTGCTATAACCCACTGACCCTTGGTTATTTGTCATAAATTGGTTCGCCCCAGACCCAGATCCTAGTTGTGGGGATGAATTCGATGTGGAATTGTGTAAACCTGCCATAAAAGATGTTGGCATTCCGTAAGAAGAACTTCTAATTCTATTCCCATCGAAGTCGGGTGGTCTAGTTAATGGTGTGGCGAAATGGGATTGTGTTCCTGGTGGTGGAACGAATCCCCCAGGGTAGCCCATAGTTCCAGTATTTCCTAAGATCGAACTGTTAGTTGATATGCCACTTACTCCATTGGTGGTTGTGTTACTGGTTGAAGATGCAACAGACTGTGCATTCGAAGGGATTACATTAGATGTTCCGCTCGAAATGGACGCGTTAGTGCCTGTTGCATGTGGGCCACCTTGGTCTCCTTGTTGATTGTCTGAATTAGACATTTTGTCCAAACGTTTTCTTCTGGATAAAGGTTGGTTGCTGTTGGTTATCTTACCACTTCTCAGGTTCATAAAACAGCAAACTTCTTAGGTTCCTACGTTTTTGGGATGGCTATGTCTCGACAATCCTTAATTCTGATATCCAACTATTGGTCCCACCGGGTGTGCCAATTTGTTTCCAGTGATTTCTGGTAAACAACCGCTAATCTTCCAAACTATCGAACAATCTTTATTAACGCTATTCAATCTCTCTGGTAACTCACAGGATCGACTAGATTGATCCTAGGACTCCTTGGATATTAAGGTTACTCTCACAATCGAACAATTATTCATGGTTGCTATTGTACAAGTGTTTGGTTTATTTCGATCCCTCTCTCTAAGAGTTTAAAATATGGTCAAAATGTATATGAAAGCTAAGTTATACGAATAAGTGCTAATTGTAATGCTGATTGAAGAGACATATAAAACTGTATGAAAAATGAAGTAAATGGTTTCGATTTGCAAAGCATTTAACATAAAAGGTTTCTGGAATGTAGAAGTTTAAAATGTGAAGAGAGCGTTTAATGCAAGAAATCTATAAATGATTTTAAGTAAAAATATTCGCTTGAATGTAAATACTTGAAAGTAAAGGTATTGAAAGTGTAACAGTTCTCTGAAATATAAAGTGCTCGAAACCTAAAGAAAACAGTAAAACGTAAAACTTTGAGGAAAAGACTTTGAAAAGAAAAGACAGTAAATAAAGAAACTTGCAAATGTTATTCGACAAAAAGAAAAGAAGAAAGTACTGGAAATGGTAAAAAGGCTTTCATTAAGTTAGAAATACATGGTGCTATCATACATACATTTCTCTTGCATTCGTTTCCCTTGCCATGTGGTAGTTTGAATGTTATTGAGTATTTTGTATAACAGATATGACACACTGAAATCCTAATACTAAGACTTCTATTTATACTAATTCGACCCTAACGGTCTCGCTATAGGATCATGCCACGTTTCGAACATGCAAGACAATGTTTCTTTCATCTTTCCACGTGTCCCCAAATGCTCCAACACATAACTTTCAAACTTTGAAAGTCCCGCTCCCATTTGAATTTTAAACGCTTTGGTGTTTCTCCGTTTCGAACGCTCTTCCCAAACCTAGCCTCGCTGTTGTTTCGAGACCCCTTTGGATATGTTCCCAAAATCACCGTTCGAAGCTTCAAGCTTTGACACACTTATTCGAAACACTGCTTCTGCAACTTCGAAATATGGCGTTTAATTCCATTTCGATCAGAACTTTTAACTCTTTTGAATTCTAAATAACATTGTCAAAATCTTCAGCCAACAACAGGGCATAAGGAAATTCCTAACTGCACGATATTCACCTCAGCAAAATGGTGTGGCTGAAAGGAAGAATCGAACTATTCTTGATATGATTCGATCAATGCTCAAAAGCAAGAACATGTCGAAAGAATTCTGGGCAGAAGCGGTACATTGTGTTGTTTATGTTCAGAATAGATGTCCACATTCGAAGTTAGAAGACAAAACACCACAAGAAGCATGGAGTGGACAGAAATCAACAGTTTCTCATCTCAAGGTATTTGGTAGTATAGCTTATGCACATGTACCAGATCAACGAAGAACAAAGCTTGAAGACAAAAATCAGAAGTACATATTCATTGGATATGATGAGAAGACGAAAGGGTACAGCTCTTCGATCCCATAAGCAAGAAAGTGATCGTGAGTAGAGATGTTCGAATGAACGAAGCAAGCAAGTGGGACTGGAACAATTCGACAGAGGTTATTGACGCAGTCGAAGAAACAATTGTAGCTGTACCAACAAGTATTCCAACAGAACATGAAGAAACTGAAGATGAAGATGAACCTCTACAACCCAGAATGAGAAGTTTGCAAGACTTATATGATTCAACAAGTGAGGTGCATCTTGTGTGCCTTCTAGCAGATGCTGAAAATATCAGTGTCGAAGAAGCGTTACGAGACAAGAAGTGGAAAAGTGCCATGGACGAAGAGATTAGAGCAATCGAACGCAACAATACTTGGGAGCTAGTCGAATTGCCAAAAGGTAGTCAACCCATTGGTGTAAAGTGGGTATTCAAGAAAAAGATGAATGCTCAAGGAGAAATCGAAAGATTCAAAGCACGACTGGTTGCGAAGGGATACAAACAGAAAGTAGGAATTGACTATGACGAAGTGTTTGCGCCTGTTGCAAGAATGGAGACAATTCGATTACTCATTTCTCAAGCTGCTCAATTCAAATGGTCAATATTTCAAATGGATGTCAAGACAGCATTTTTGAATGGTGTGCTCGAAGAAGAAATCTATGTCAAACAACCACTTGGATATATGGGAATTGGAGAAGAGAAGGTGTTGAAACTGAAGAAAGCGCTGTATGGGCTGAAGCAAGCACCTAGGGCATGGAACACACGCATTGACACATATTTCAAAGAGAATGGGTTCGAGCAATGTCCTTATGAACCTGCCCTCTATGTGAAGAAAATTGGAAGTAATGTATTACTTGTTGCTCTCTATGTTGATGACCTTATCTTTCTAGGCAGTGATGTTCAGATGATCGAAGATTTCAAGAGCACCATGACAAGCGAATTCGAAATGACAGACTTAGGTCTGATGAGATTCTTTCTTGGTCTGGAGGTTCGACAAGAAGAAGCTGGAATCTTTATCTCACAAGAAAAATATGCAAAGGAAATCCTAGAAAAATATAAAATGAAGAATTGCAATCCAACTTCGACGCCAATAGAACCAGGTGCAAAACTGTCAAAGTTTGATGGAGGAGAACGGGTTGAAGGAAGCAAATATCGAAGCTTGGTAGGTAGCCTTCGATATCTCACATGCACAAGGCCAGACATTTCACTAAGTGTTGGCATTGTAAGTCGATTCATGGAGGAACCAGTACACACACATTGGAAGGCACTGAAACGAATTCTAAGATACATCCAAGGAACAGTATCACTTGGAATGTTTTATTCAAAAATAGAAGATTACAAGTTAGTTGGTTATTCTGACAGTGACTGATGCGGAGACATAGACGATCGAAAGAGCACTTCTGGATATGTGTTTTTCATGGGAAACACAACATTTACTTGGCTATCGAAGAAGCAACCTATAGTAACACTTTCGACGTGTGAAGCTGAATATGTGGCAGCATCCTGGTGCGTCTGTCATGCAGTATGGCTCAGAAGGTTGATAAGCAAGATGGAGCTAAAACATGAAGGTCCAACAATAATACAAGTGGACAATAAATCAGCTATCGAATTGGCAAAGAATCCAGTGAATCATGAACGAAGCAAACACATTGATGTTCGATTTCACTTCATTCGTGAACATGTGAAGGAGGGAAGTGTCGAATTGAGGCATGTAGCAAACAAAAACCAAGCAGCGGGTATTTTCACAAAACCACTATCGAAAGAGATCTTCGACAGAGACAAGAAGATGATAGGAATGTTGGATGGAAGAAACACTTAAGTTTACAGCGGAGTTTTGTTGAGTAAACTTTAATGTCATTAGTAATAAGTTTTCATATTAAATAATGTAGTAGGAAGATTAAGAACCGATGTAATTTAGAAGGACAAAAGTTAGTAAGTTATGATAGTTTTTATTAGTAGCAGTTATCTTTTCTAAATTGTAAAAGTCATTGGGTCTATATAAGGACCAAGAGTGTATTTTATTTAACAAGCAATATAGAAATATAGAAAGGTTTGCCTCTTTTTCAAAATAAAAGAAAACGAAGTCGGCTTCTTTATATCAAAAATCAAGTGAATACATTACTCCTCATCAGTCATCACAAGAACAAACTACTCACCCGATAGTGTACTTTCACTTTATCGCCTTTGTGTGCCTGAACTTCACATGATGCTGGTTTATACTGCAATGACAAAGAGTATAAACAGTTAGCAATAAAGAAGACATAAACCCGTTTTCACTGTAATACACAATAAAAATAGCCTTGCTTATATGCATTATTATCGATGAAAAGGAATTGCATCATAGCAAGGGAAAGATCATGATTTCTTACGTTCCCCTGTTTTAATCTCTACAACAAATTGTCTTTCATTAAATTTACAAGTTTGTAAATACTCTTTCGGACCCCAAGGAAACTATAATCTATAAATCAAAATATCAGAAACACAACATCGACACCCGTATTAATTTACCGATCCTGAAATCCAATTTGCAATTTACCTTAACGCCAATCTGCAACTCCGTTACATCAGCAGCATTCTTCGCAGCAACTGACACACGCGAACGAAAAAATACACAACATCATAAATCAAAACTAAAAAATTAAAATATAAAAAAAATCATAGAAATTGATAAATTGAAGGGGAAAACTAACTAGATCTGAAAAATATACATCAGAATGAATAAGCATATAGAGGAAATTGTGTGATTTATGTGAAGAACGGAATCGATGAATCGTGAAGAAAAATACCTAATGCTGATGCAATGATGAAGATGGTGAAGATAAGGAAAATTGAAAATAGCTTCATCGTGTAGATGAGATGTTTTTTTCTTTCTTACAAAGTCACTGAGTCGAATTTTTGATTTGGATGCAGTAATAAATAGCATAAAAACGGGGTCGACCGGGTCGGGTTTATTGTTATTGCTGGCCACCGGTTACAAACTTATAATTTATTCTACTGAAAAAAGAAGAAGAAAAAAACTATGATTTTACACCGTTATTGCATAAAACTTGTTATTTTACAAACTTGTTATTGCATAAAACTATTATATAAGGATAAAACTTGTAATTTTACAAATTATTTGATTATTTTACACCGTTATTTTACAAACTTGTAATTGCATAAAACTATTATTTATCACTAAAAAATAATAAATAAAATAGAATGTATGTATAGTGTAAAGTAATTTTAAACCGCCATTTAAAAAACAACGCACATTTCACCGTATTATATTGATAATTAAAAAAAACTTAAATAATTTGACAGATTCATGTTTTTTTATTGGACGATTGAGTAAAAAAATTTACGGTGACTATGGATGTCCATTAAACTCATATGAAAATGTGTTATTGTGTAGAACAAATATCATGCCGACTTTCCGTCTCTTGTTAAGGGGGGCTATCAGAATAAGTTTATAAAAAGATTAGGGGATTTGGGAGCTACGTCAGTGAAACGCGTGTCCCAAGATGAGTGCATTTCTTGTCCCTCTATCGGAAGCTCCTTTTATAGAGATTTTATGTGTCATCAAGAGCCTCAATTAATGAGTGAATCTTGAGTTCCATAACTACATAAGCTTTGTCGTCTTTATGAATGGAGATGATTAGTACTGTGTAAGGTAGTAATGAATGCGCTGTCAACGGTTACTGGTTTTAATGAGTCGAGATGATGACCGGTTACATGCAGGTGCGTCTCGGCCACCCACCTTATTCGGGTCCATAACGTTAACGGGTTACTACCCGGGTCCGTGATCATCTGATACTCCCTTAGCCGGGTTGCACCTCAGATACCCCCGCTCTTGAGCCGATTACTTTTTTAACCTTCCTTTTTGCCGATTACACTACCCGGTCAGGCCTAACATTTATGGGATGCACATAAGCCTCCCGAATTCAAGTTCTTTCTTATAAGGACATGTGTTCAGTCACGTAGTCGCGGAAGGTAATGCAGGCACTGTCAGGTTGCTTCTATATTCTAGCCTATGTGGCACAGAGTGAAGAGTCATCATTTTCTTTTTCCTAAAGTAATGATGACTTCCACCTAAATTTTTGTTCATTAGGTGACGTTTCCCTCCCCTAATGCACTGTTCATTGGGCTCTATTGAAGCCCTTCTTTCCTCTTTCATTTTTTATCTCTAACATTGTAGAATGTGTTACATCTTCAAAGGCATTCAAACAACTTTAAGCGTTCTTCGTTCTCCGGGTATTTCCTCTTACCCTTTTTGTTTTCGCTTTGCCTTTTTTAGATTATGGTTATCCTGAGAGAGTGTGACAATCAGGGAAACATTGTAAAACCCTCTAGTGCTGAAGAAAGAAAAGAGTTATGAAACTAATGCATGCAACAAATGAAGGGCGTTGTAAAACCATCTAGTGCTGAAGAAAGAAAAGAGTTATGAAACTAATTCATGCAACATATGAAGGGCATTCAAGGCCAGGAGTAGTTTAATCAGGTCACGATGGAGGTTTATAGTTTTACCCTCTCTTCTTTGAGTGATTCTGACTACGATTCTTCCTCCTCAAGTTCTGTAGAGTTTCTGATGGAAGCTTCTGCCCCTTTCGACCTCGAAGTCATGGGTTACAAGAATAGCGTACTCGATGATACAGAGATTGCTAAGCTTTATTCATTGATAGAGGTCTCCTCAACCAGGGAAGAAAGCAACTTTATTCTAGAAGCATGTATCACTGGGGATCGGGTATGTGTGCTTCACTGAAAACACACAGATGAGAACTGAAGGTGTGAAAAACACAAGAAATTGGGAGTTTGAATTGGGTTTTAAACCAAAATAAACTTTTCCTTTTAAAATCCCCTTTAAACCGTAACAAGATACTTCACTTAGTGATAATAGTGATAAGATGCAAGAAGGAAATAACAAGTTATGTTTATACTAGTTCACTTGAAAACTATCAAGCTAGTTTAGTCCACCCGCCAAGGTGATTTCGCCTTTCTCAACAAGGACTTAATCCAATAATCAAACAAATTATTACAATGAACAAGCTAACTGCAAATGACTAACGTTAAAACCTCTAAGGCACACTAATCTTAGACTTCTCAAGGATTCTGACCAACTGGTCTCTTAAGGAAAATCAAACAATTGTTTGAACAAAGTTTGTTTACAAGAAATTATGCTTCTACACAAGCAGATATGTAAACAGTAATTTTCGAACATAGACTAGAGAAATATGAAAGCGTATGAATAGTCTTAATAGAAAGTGTATCAACGTGAATTGACTGCCGTCTCTCATAGTCTTCAAGCCTTTATATAGCCAATAAAATATTATAACCGTTGAAAGGTATTTCTGGAATTTCTAGAAAGCTAGCAACTTGATCAATCACGTGGGAGACAAGATCCTACGCAACGTCCATCCTACATGGTAGTGGAATGAAACATTTTGTTTATACCATGTACTTTTTGTACCACGTAATCTTATCCTCTTTTTCTTCTAACGTCAGAGGCTTCTAAGCATACGTTGGAAGAATGAGAATAACACTTGGGTCTTTAGAACTTCAAGTCTTCAGAGTCTTCAGAACTACGTCTTCAGAATATTTAGCACTTGGTCTTTAGAACTCTTTGTAAAACCTTGGGTCACCAGAACTTCAAGTATTCAGAATCTTCAAAACTTTGTCTATCAGAACCTTTAGCACTTGGTCTTAAGAATCCTTTGTCTTCAGAAACATAAGTCTTCAGCATCTGGACTTCAGTTAGAACTTGTCTTCAGATCTTTAGAACTTGGTTTCTTGGACATGTATCAGAGTCACAACTTTAGAGTCTTCTGAAGCTTTTTCTACTGTTCATCAGAACTTGTGTAGCCTAGAAGCAGAACTTATTCTCTTCTAATATCTTGGTAGCGCCTTTCACCAGAAGCAAAACCTGTTTGTTAAATCTTAAAAATAACAAACATTAGAGTACCAAAATTGTTCATACAAACATACTCATTTGTTATCATCAAAACTCAGAGATAAAATTGCAGAACTAAATCTTGTTCTAACAGGGACTTCTTTTATTTTTATGTCGGGGTCTTGGAAGACTTCATAGTCCACATACCCTTCTCTGAATTCAATGTTGATGTCTTGAAGGCCATGAACATCGCGCCCTCATAACTTCGCCCAAACAATTGGGGATTTATAAAGGCTTTTGAAATAGTCTGTGGGGCAATGGATATTGTTCCCACTGTCGGTTTGTTCTTCTCCTTTTATGAGGTAAAAGAGGCTGAGAAGCTTTTATGGATCCAAGTTAACGGTCATCCACACAGAAGTTTCCTCCAGGTGTATAACTCCAATTATAAGGATTTCAAGGAGCAGTTCTTGAAGGTGAAATGTGGGTCAAGGTGCCCCCAAGTCTTATACTCTTTAGACGGTCAACCCCCTTTCTCTTCTACTGGACCCGAGACCCTTCTCCTATATTCGAGTTTATGTTTGAGAAGTTGAGTGACCTGGAAATCCAAGCTCTGACTGTACTTGATTATTTTTGTATGATGAAGGTCAAAGATCTATTGTCTCTAACCGGTAAACAAATTCCTGACCTTCTTGGTAATAGCCTTTTTTTTGGTTTTAGCCATCACATATTCTTATATATTACTTACATCGTCTTTTTCTTTCTTTACAGATAAGATGATAGATCTTCTGTGGTCGAGCAGAAGAAGTTGTTGATGGAGATAAGGGCTGCCCCGGAGGGGTGTAGGAGGGGCCTCCGCAATCAAGTCGGACTTGTCTGGGATAGAGACCTTGACTTTGAAGAAGCGCCAAAGGGTAGGCTTTAAGGCTACCTCCAGCGTGGCTGAGCCTCAAGTTTTTGTTCCAACTATCTAGGAGGAGACCCATCAAGGCACTCCCAAAAGGCTAAATACTCTAATGAGTGACGAGGTTTGTTGGGCCGACATGGAAATCCCCTCTCTGATGGAAGAACCCGGGGATAGCCATGCTTATGGGGAGTTCATGTTTTTGTCCAACAACTTCGATTTACTCCTCTTTATTTATGATCATCTGAACGCAACCGAAGACGTTAACAAGGTTAAGTCCGTCAGTTGACAGAAAATGACCTAGAACCTCAGTTCCTATCTCATTAGGTGTGCGGTTCTGACCCATGGTCTATTTGATCTACTGATGATCATGAAGAGACATAGTCGAAGCTGAAGGAAGAGATAACCTGACTAAATGAGACTCAGAAGGCTCAATCTGAGAAGTTGTCTGGTATGGAGGAAACCTTAGCTAAGGAGAAAGAGCTCCAGGAGAATTTGGAGTCTGAAAGCAAGGTTACTCTTACCTAACTCAATGATAGGTTAAAGGTAGAGGAGGCCACCAATGATGAGCTGAAGCCCGCCACTGGCAAGTTGAGTGAAGCTTTTAAGAAGTCTCAGGTGGACGTTTTTTGCTGGTGATAAAGCCTTTGAGTGGGCCAAAGATCAAATACCGTATCTTCATCTTGGTCTGTCCATATCAGAGATGGACTACTTTAAGGTGGTGCAGGATGGCCACCTAGTAGATCTCAAAGACATGGAGAAGACTTCATCTCCTCAGCCGAATCTTGAAGATCCTTCTACCGAGGAGAATGTCAATAATGATGCTGTCAGGAGAGAAAACTCTATCGCGTGATGATTTGTTATGTGTTTCTGTTAGTCATCCGATAAGGATGCAATTATGTAATATTTTTTGTAAGGAGTGGTTCACCATTCATTTTTTTACTTTTTATAAGGATGCAATTATGCAATTATGACTGACAATCATGTTTTATTGTTTTTCATTTTTGTTAGTTTATGTAGTGTGTCGATTATTGTTTAAACAAGTTGAAATTGGAGTTGTTCTAAATTCTAAAATCT